TTAAATTTCTACACAAAGATCATGGGGTGACCACGCCATTGTACGTCCGTAACGCATTGATATACATAACGTCTAGAAGGTTGTCACGCAGACGAGTTATATTCGAACTATTCAACAGTAGTGCAATTTATAAGCAAGGAAATACGTTCAATTTTGAATCAACAAATCAACCCACAGGATAAAAAGGCGGCAGAATTTGCTTGGCGGCGCGAAAAATTGCGAGATTATCGTTGCAGCGTCGCCGGGCTGTGACGTAACGAACGGCGGCGAAGTCTTGGCGAAATTTTCAGTGACGTTACTTACGATGACGTTACTTACGATGGCGTTATTTACGATGACATTACTTACGATGGCATTACTTACGATGACGTTACTTACGATGACGTTACTTACGATGGCATTACTTACGATGACATTACTTACGGTGACGTTACTTACGATGCCGTTACTTACGATGCCGTTACTTACGATGACGTTACTTACGATGACGTTACTTGCGATGACGTTACTTGCGATGACGTTACTTACGATGCCGTTACTTACGGTGACGTTACTTACGATGACGTTATTTACGATGACGTTACTTACGATGACGTTACTTACGATGACGTTACTTACGATGCCGTTACTTACGATGACGTTACTTGCGATGACGTTACTTACGATGACGTTACTTGCGATGACGTTACTTGCGATGACGTTACTTGCGATAACGTTACTTACGATGACGTTACTTACGATGACGTTACTTACGATGACGTTATTTACGATGACCGTTACTTACGATGATGTTACTTACGATGAGGTTAGTACTTACAATGCCGTTACTTACGATGCCGTTACTTACGATGACGTTACTTGCGATGACGTTACTTACGATGACGTTACTTACGATGCCGTTACTTACGATGACGTTACGTACGATGACGTTATTTACGATGACGTTACTTGCGATGACGTTACTTGCGATGACGTTGCTTACGATGATGTTACTTACGATGCCGTTACTTACGATGATGTTACTTACGATGAGGTTAGTACTTACAATGCCGTTACTTACGATGACGTTACTTACGATGATGTTACTTACGGTGACGTTACTTACGATGACGTTACTTACGATAATTCTTGATCGTCCGATTTTCTAAACAAGGTCATTAACATCATGGGTTCTATTTAAGAGGTTTAGTCTCGCATCAGGGGATTCATTGAGCATCAGCTGTTCCATCAAGCACCAGTAATCCCATTTAAGAGGGTTTAGTTTATCGTCATCAGTGAACCCCCGATTCCATTGTTGGCTGGCGAGAGGGTGATACCACTGATCGGGTCCCCGTCGTAAGCAGGATCAGGGATCATGGAATGAATGTAATCTGCCCAACGTATAATTATGTTGTGGGGGACAAGCGATACAAAGTCAAGTTCTGGTTTACACGGCGACAACGAATGTTTGAATAATAGTTGTAAATGGCTTTCATTTTTGGTGAATTGAATGAGATTTGAAGGCTTTAATTAAAGTTAGGGTTTATTCCTTACGGAGATACGAATATAGAATTCAAACACAAACGCCGTCAGAATTAAGTATCCAGAGTTGTGACCGAAGACGTGATGCTCGAGCGTATTGGCTAACTAATGGGCCAACCATTGCATCACCTAACAAATGCATGGGCCAATGCATGCATGGGCTAACTGATGCATCTGCCAATGAACGCATTACCTACTAGTGCATGGGCTAACGAATGCATAGGCTAACGAATGCATATAGCTAACGAATGCATAGGCTAACTGATGCATATGCCAACGAATGCATTGGCTATCTAGTGCATAGGCTAACGAATGCATAAGCTAACTGCATGATGCAGCTACCAATGAATGCCTTGGCTAACTATATGTATTAGCCAATTAAATCATTGGCCAAATAAAGGGATGCGATGAGAACGATACTGTCCTTTAAATTCGACGCAAAACTAAGAGACGCACTGCTTTTTGAGGTACCGAAGCCGGTATAGTTATTTCTTAGTGTCAAGTACTGTATTGAAATTCGTTCGTTATTTGTGAAATCTTGATTATGATTAGAATATAATTTTCTCCGACTAGAATTTATGAAGTTATACAGAGTATTACTTAGAGCTGTAGCTGTGGAGCGCCCGGGCTCTGAATACGTAAAGCGGTCGATGCTGCGCAAAAGTTCGCTTCACCGCCGTCCTTACAACGGAATCTTCGATCCGTACAATCAATGCGGTTGAGGGAGAGAGGGTACGACGTTAGAAGGCAACCAATCTTTGACGTCAAGCCTGATAAGTTGATAAGAACTTTTCAACTGGCGTACAGCGAGAGGAATTAACCATATCCATGCGCGACGCTCCATATCCATGCGCGAATCACCATATCCATGCGCGAATCACCATATCCATGCGCGACGCACCATATCCATGCGCGACTCACCATATCCATGCGTGACGCACCATATCCACGCGCGACGCACCATATCCATGCGCGACTCACCATATCCATGCGCGACGCACCATATCCACGCGCGACGCACCATATCCATGCGCGACGCACCATATCCACGCGCGACGCTCCATATCAACGCGCGACGCAACATATCCATGCAAGATGCAACATTCTTAAGTCTGATACGGTACATCCTTATTAGCGGCGGCATAAGCAAAACTAATGTCACCACTCAATCCACTAACTTATGGTTAATAACCTAACGTCACCTCACCGTAAATTAAAATTAATAACAGCTTGCACTTCACTATTTTCTTGTACTTCATTGCAGCAGCGACCGCAGGTCGCATTCCGCATAGAAGCTTTCAGGGTTTCCACTTCCCAAGCTCTGGCATTAGTCATAAAAGTTGCCAGCAGCCGCTGCGCACCGGCACCCAAAAAGCGCATTAAAGCTCGTACTTCCGGTGCGGAACTGCCTAATAAATATCGTAATTAAGATCACAACTATCACCTAAACACGAGCAAGACTAAGAGCAACTAATGAATAAAAGGCGCATACCGACGGTTAGTTTTTCTGACGGAATTGAACTAGCGTTTCTGCACCAGCAGCTTTGACTCGGGACTTTCGATGTCTGAATTCAAGGTTGAATTAGCAATGAATAATGAATTCAAGGTTGGACTGGAAATGCGCCACAAAAGGAAATGAATTGCCGAGATCAACAGCTGGTGTTGAGCCAGTTGCTGCGCAAGGTTAATTAATGAGGGAATTAGTTAACGTTTTGTTTGCATTGAGGGGAACGTCGCACCAACTTATTTACTGAGAGGAGATGTCCAAACAGAATTGTTGTCGCCGTTGTAAATAGTCAATTGTGTTAATGGATACAGTGTTTGAAGCTGCTATCAATTAACTCTGATGAGCTAAGATAAAAAAATTTAATTCAAGTTTTTGATACTGCTTTTAACGTCAAACACCATACAGACGGGCACTTGCCAGGCATATGCCTGTCACGGTCCGTTTCCCTGCCAGGTACATTCCCATGTTCAGTCATGTCACGGCCCATCCTCCCGTCAGTTCCTTTAATATCACGTGCCATGCAAATCACGAAGCGTTGCCAAATGGTATATTTTACCCTACCAGATTTGACAAATCAAAATCTGCTATGATGAGACACTGCCCGGTATGGATATTTTTGATCTGGTATAGTTGCTAAAATCTGGTATATTTAGCTTGGCACTCTGGTCTCGACATAAAAAAAAATTGTTGTCGCTGCCCGATTAAAATATATTTTGCCTTGATCGTGGCTAGACCGTGCTTGGCATGGCAGGACTGCGTTGCACGGCTAGTGGTGAAGCGTGAGTTGTGGTGAAGCGTGAGTCGTGATGAAGCAAGACTCAAGGTAATAATTATAAATATCGGATTACAATATAAAATTCCCGAAGAACAGCTAAATGTTACATTAAACATAGAATATTTGAGGCCAAGTTGGAGGTTAAAGGCAGTTTAAAGTCACTTTTCAAGTACCGTACTTCAGGATGGAATTCTAGGAATGGTGGTTCATATACTAATCATCAATACAACATGTTAAATTGATCAGTTTAGAAATACCTGCTGATTTTTAAGAGAAAAGTTTAGTTTAAGGTCTACAATCCAATATAATAAGCGCACTTCTTCATATTTTCAAATGGCAATTTTCCTGAATTTCACACAGGCCACAGCCAAGATCTTGATTGGCGAGTTATTAAGAACTTTATACGCAGTAGCCCAATCATTGGGCTACAGGAAATCAATGTTCACAGCTGGACGTCCGAAATGAAGAACATGATCGTATGTTGAATAATTTGTTCACCGTTCTTCGTACGTCGAATGCATTGATTTAGTTACACGCTACAGCTCTGAGTACAAAGGGTTGGAATATCATCGTTGATTCAAGTTACAATTGAAGGATATACAACGAAAAACCCACGCACGGAAATACTGTTTACCGTGCATGTAGGTGGACAGAAAAGAAGGAAGGTGCGCAGGAGTGAATTAGGTTATACGTACGTCACCTAATGCCTTTTTAGTCATCTAACTCGTTAGCGACAGATAAGTTTACTTGTTTCACGTATGAATATAATTATTTTTTACTGCTTCCGTTCTAGCTTAAATGAATTCTTACTCTTATTACTAGAACTCAAGTTTTACTGAAGTACAGCAGCAGATACAGAGCATTAGAGCAAGTTTTATAACACTAACTTGGAAGTCAGGAGAAGAATGCGGTGAGGTACTTAGGTGGATAATTTTTCAACGAGGCAAATTTAGTTACAGTTGTCAACCGATTTACAGTTAAATGATTGCAAAAACACACATCTTGAGAAAGCACTACCATATAATCTTAAAGCCTCAATCTGTTGCTTTACAATTATTTTCCAGGTGTGAAGAGACAGCACAAAGCAGGCAGGTGTTGGAACATCGTGCAATGGATCTCGCAGCCACACGTGTGACTGCAAGTCATATATGTGGCGTTAATCATGCACAAGTTATTATAGATAACAATATGACTCACCGATGTCAAAATATCTTCCCTATAGACAGGGCTCGTGTAGAATATTCAAAGCGGAACGTGAGAGGAGTTCTGAATATTAAGTCCGAGAGCAAGTGTACACAGAGGAGAGCACGGGCAGCACCATACCACTCAGAGTCTGACGCTACACTGAGCTGGTAAACGAGCTTTGTTTACCTGTGGAGTTGCAGGGTTGCAACTTGCAGGTGGTGGCAACTCACTCCTCCACTCGGACGAAACTCCTCCAAATAAACCATGGGATTAGCTCTTGCCCTCCATTCTTTACACTCAGAGATATAAGTGAGCCGTCGTTTTAATAGGTATGAATTTGTTGCCTTTATGTAGGTGATCCTCACCCAATCTAGAGCGGCATCGATACCAGGAAGTTCTCTGCTCACACCGTGGGCTGGTGATTTACTAATTGGACATGGATCCAATTTTTTCCTAGTGTACCGTCTCGAGTTAGTAAAAATTTATTAAAGAATGGAAATTAAATGCGTGCAAATTTTACACAGATAATTTGCAGCAAATGCACCATATTGAATTTACTCGGTTTTGCTTCAGAAGAATTGAAATGATATTCCATTCCGTTTCCATCCCTATTTCTATTAAATTTCTACTGTTTAAAATGCCGATTAATGCGATTCTAAATGATATGAGAAAAATATACTGAAAAATTCCCAAGAGCACGTCACTACAAAAAATAGCAACATGAGCCGAGCAGTGATGAAATTTACTGTGAATAAATCAATTATCTCATTAATTTTGTTTATGAGTTTCCATGAGTAAATTAGAAGTTAAAAATTGAAGTCTAAACAATGAATTTAAACGTAAAACCTCACCAAACGCCCCCTTTGCAGTGCGGAATTCGTCGAGTCTTGGAGGCCAGATGCGAAAAAGTCCACGGGAAATGGGCGCCTGGTTCAGGCTTCTGATTAAATTAGGAGGATCTGAGCGCAGTTCACGGCTAAAAATGAATTTCTTCAGCTCAAACAGACAAGGATATTCTACAGACTAGGTTACTTCATCTATAATTCTGTTCTGAATTGAGGAGATGCATGCATTGAGCTCGGGGCTTGCATGTACTCGGCGTGAATAAATTAAAAGTTTTAGCCTAGTGCTTAATACAGCTAAAGTTTTGACTTCCTGTGAAGATAAATGCTGAAATCAGGGATGGGAATAACGCTGATGCGAAAAATTTATACATAAATTGTCATTTATCACCGTTATAATAAAAAAATTCAAACGTATACAAACGTCCAATTGACATTTTTTCATCGTTACAGGCTAAGAACTTCAAACGTATACTAAAGTCCAACTTCTTGCGCAGTAATTCCGTGATGATCGAGCTGCGCCTGATATGGGCAGTAAACCCACCCTTACTGCCGCCATTTACTGCACTTTGACTGCAATTCTCGACTTGGGTGTCTTGCAACGCCTTCCTCGCTGCTATCCCAGGCCACTCAACGATGCTCCAATGAATAGAAATTCGCGAAAATGCTGCAGAATTATCTATTTTTTTAGAGAAATACCTATTTTTGGAGGGAAAACTAATGAGTATCCTGGAGCTATGAATACTGTAGAATTGAATAGCGACGCGACGTCTGAGTGAATGCTATTCAATTGGAAATTCATTTGAATTTAGATTGCAGGGTAAGGATTTACCATTGAGTTAAATTCCCCGGAACGGGATTATAAAGCAGGTTTTGTGCTTCTTTCTATGTGTCAGAACATTAAGATCTCGCGTGGCTTAAAATAGTAATTGATAACTTGAGCTGCATTGATAGTATAGCTGGAAAATTCTCCTGAGGATATGTTTAGTTTGTTGTTATTTTTTTTTCATACGCAAGTTCGACAGTTTATTATATAAGAAATATTAGCGTAATACTTCATCAGAGAAAATTATTTTTGAGATAAAGGAAAATAGGGAAATACTTAATTATTTCCATCAAATTGTAAACTTCTCTCTGGAATAGAAAGTGCATCTATTCTCATCCTGATCTATTGTATAATTATATATTATATTTCTCGAGTTTAGTGATATCTAACTTCATTTGTGACAGTTATTTGTTAATCGACTAACTCAGATACGACTAAATCACATACGTAAGATTATTATAGCCACTATGCGAGTGCAAAATTAGCATATTTCTCGGGTTTCGTAGAGATCAGAAATAATTTTCGGTAGTTATCGGTAGATTCATTAATAAGAAGGGGCTATACATATAATAGGTGTTGTGTTTTCTTGAGATATTAAAGTTTATCAGACATGCATGCGACAAGTCTTGATTTGAAGTCGATAGTGTTCATTAAAAACGTTTCAATAATTAAAAGGAATGATCGTGAATCAACCCCCAATTCTCTATGTTTTATAGACATTAAGACTATTGATTAATAATTAAAGTAACGATTAGCACCCAGTCCCATGTGCACCAACGTTCATAATTAATTTTTCTGAATCTATTTTCTGTGCGGGAATTCAACGGCCGTACGCATCTCGATTTTGCTGCCATAAACTTCCCGATAAAGACATTATTGTTCTTTATCTTTATCTGTCTTTGTAACGTTCATAACGTGTCTCTCCTAGCTACTTACCGCTGCGTTTCTACTTATCTCGCTCCTACTTGTCACGTTCCTTCTGTCCGCGTTCCCAGTTTTGTCTCGGAAAATCACATTTCAATTAGCTGATCTTTGAACTGAAGAATTGAAGGTTAATAACGAGACGATGTTATAGGTTACGATGTGTTTTATATAACAAGCAGGTAGAGAAGGGATACGTAGATCGCTGTAAAGTGTACGTAACGTATAACGTATAGCTATACAACAGCTGTGGATATACGTAACGTTACTAACGTATAACGCAGCTATACAGTAGCTGCAGGCGTACGTACCGTATAACGTAGCTACAGCCGTATAACTTTACTCGCTACACTCGCAACAAAGCAAACCGATGATGCTGCAGCCGCTGCTCCTCAATATAATTAACAACCAAATTGTTCAAGAGAAACATACCTACCTAAGAAATGTAACTAAATTATATATAAAAAGCAATAGGTGTAATATAACACATTTCATAGAGAACCTAAAATCATATCTTGACTACATGACGCGAAGGCTTCAGGTTCTCTACATTTTAGGGCCTGTTTTTTTATCATGCTTAGCTGCCGTTCTATTCGTTTAATAAATATACCTATTTGATATTTTCCAGATGAACTAATATTAGGAAATCAAGGAGCTTGTATGCTAGTAAACGTAGAAGAAAATAATCATTACAAATGCAAAATAGTGATGCTTAGTGCTGTCTAAATATGAATCCCGTAACAAATTTTAGCATAGAGAACTAAGCTCACTCTTGCCTATAAGTTCTGTATAGTTTCAAACGACACAGTAAATAATAATTGTCTTCATTAAATTAAAATAAAAAGTTTTGCTCACAACTCTTAATGCTTAAAAAAAAGATGCAGTCGCGACGCCTGACATCACTCAGAAAAGTAAGTGGTAACATTGTCCAAATTATGACACACGTTTTGCTCACAGAAAGCGGACGTAGCACTGATACGCTAAACTGAGTCAGGGTGTCCCACACATGGGCAAAATGTGCATCATTATTAGGATAATGTCACATTTGTGTTCTTGAGAGTTCACTCGCCTCATCAGACGCTTAAAGTTTCCCCAAGTTTGTCCTAAATGCCCAAAAAAATTCCCGCCAACTTTGAAAAAGTCGTCAACTTTTCATTCCAAGTTGAGAAAACATTTCAGAAAGTTCGAGTCCATTTAAACTCAACAGCTTTAATCCGAGTCGAAAATATGATTGATTTTCCGTTAACAACTTCGCTTACGCTGCACTGGTTAATAAAAACATGGAGCTCGATGTGTGTGAACTGATTATATGTATATGTGTGTACAGATTATATGTAAATGTGTGTACAGATTACATGTATATGTGTGTACAGATTATATGTAAATGTGTGTACAGATTACATGTATATGTGTGTACAGATTACATGTATATGTGTGTACAGATTACATGTATATGTGTGTACAGATTACATGTATATGTGTGTACAGATTACATGTATATGTGTGAACAGATTATATGTATATAAGAGTGAGTATTCATGCTCTATATAATTACAGTAGAATCATACGGTAATAATAATCAGATACCGACGGTAATACAGGTGCGAATTGATTCTGAATAATGAAAAAATCGTCGCGGCTATAAAAAAAATGAAACAATTAAAGAGCCCAGCAAAAGCTGCTTACATTTAATTGTATTGAAGTAAAGGAATATTCGTTTAGGTCTAAGAAGATTTAGCCATCCGAGGGTATAGGCTTAGTTATTTTAAAAAACTACTAAATTATCTACAAAGCCAACCAAGTTTAATACAATGACAACCTTAATAGTAGTAATGGGCGTGCTTTTATTAACTACATGTACATATAGCTAACTACTTTCTATACATTTCAGAAAAAAAATTCAGTTAAATGAATATACAATTTAGGCAGGAACCAAGTTAATACATGGACGCACGTTAGCTGGGAAGTAAATGGCTACGATATATGATAGGAAATGTTTGATTCTCCATCGTACGTCGTAGTCTCTAATTAAAGTCCCACTTATCTTTATGAGTGCTCACTAGCTTTATCGAAACTTTGATTAAGTCGTCAACTTCCTCCTTATGGAACATGATCAACGTAACAGAATGACGTAAGTTACGGTAATCGTGCATTTACATTGACGTTAATCTGAATAATCTTACAATGTAATCTCGCTATTGACAGAATATTGCACTTTAAATTTCTAAATTCGGTTACTTATAGTGAAGCTATATATCTTAAGATAGAGGAATCTATGTAAATTATTTGAAATAATTAAAATACCAAAATCTGCTTTAGAAGATCATTTTGTCGTGCATGTAAGTTTGACATCATTGCACGAAATGATGAAACGTGCAACGAATGCTGCCAAAATATTATGAACGTGGCATAGAATTTCTATTAAATCAAAAGGCAGAAATAACAGTAACAACAACTGGGCCTGCTTACAATTTCCATAGCTTGAAATTGCTGCTAAAATTGAACTTTACTTATGGCATTTCAATAAATCAAAGAGCACGCATGAATATGTCTGATGTGTAAACTTGAGAGCAGCTAATATAAAGTAGTCAAAATCATTAGAAGGAATAAATGAAGTTAAGTACCTTCCTAAGCACACAGTGTAAGCACTGCGTGTACATTATACAATGTACAACTTTCCTATTTATGTCAATTATTTGGAACAGCGTTGATGTTAACGTAACCGTATACGAAGGCTATGGGAGTCAAGCATCAGATAACCAAACAGTTGTTATCGCAAAGATTTCTTTGAACAAGTCAAAGCATTTAAACGTGTTGGGTTTCACCAAAAAGTAATTTTATTAAGTTAAGTAAGTAATTTTATTTTTAAAGCAGCTCGTGGCGGCACCTATGCGGGCACCCACAAACATATTCAACATGATTCATGTTAATAAGATAATGGCAAAGAGTTTTTACATTCCCCTGATGCCATAAAAACAAGTAAATAGACGGAATGTATCACTATGGAATGCAAGGTTACACAGCGCGACTATATTACATCACTCATGTTCATGTTGACTAAGCTCATTAATGTTATCGCGGAACCAACATGCACTGCAACATAAACATTCATTATACCTCATGCAATCCACGTTGAGTAGGACTTCGAACTTAAAATCAACATACGTTCATTGTTATTAGTCTAAATAATCTCATCTGGACTTCGGTGGAGAATTTTCCATTGCAACCTTGGGACTTCGATGGTAAGAACTTACGACCTTTTAATCAATTTAGGCTAATCGCTCACTATAAAATCGAATAGACGAGTATATACTATAGCTCACTATATACGCGTTGTTACCTTATGAACTCATGAGGTTTCAAGTCATATGCAATAAATACAATAAATATGCAAAATTTAAACCTATGATCACCGCAAGGATGAATTGAAAATTTTCGGGTATTTGACCATTCTCGAGCGCTCGGATGGAGGTTGAAGTTGCCAAGAATTCGAAAGCAAAGTAAATGTCATGGGAACAAAATTTGGTCTGGCTTGAGAATTTTTTACTGGAATCTTGATTGAAACGATTTGTGAACGGATCTACAGTATATTCAGATTAGTTATGAACTTTGTTACCATCTGATAATTTGCGACCGTTGACACTGACACGGTCCCAGTGAACTCGCTTGCCATTTACTTTGCTATTATATTCTTAATTTGTTTGTTTTTGAATTTTGGGCTCCGCAACCTTCATAATTAAGGTTGAATTTAACATCGTCCAAGTTGTCTAACACGTGCATTATCATAACGCCAAGAATAATAGACGCGCATGCGAACAAATGTGCCTACAGTAAAACTAATAGCCATCCGTCATCGCGGCCGTCAACCATCATCCGTCATCACGATTAGAAACCATCATCCGTCATCACGATAAGAAACAATTATCCGTCAACACGATAAGAAACCATCATCCGTCATCACGATAAGAAACCATCATCCGTCATCACGGCTGCCAACCATCATCCGCCATCACGATTAGAAACCATCATCCGCCATCACGGTTGCCAACCATCAACCGTCATCACGAAAAAAAACCATCAACCGTCATCACGATAAAAAACCATTATCCGTCATCACGATTAGAAACCATCAACCGTCATCACGATAAGAAACCATCATCCGTCATCACGATAAAAAACCATTATCCGTCATCACGATTAGAAACCATCAACCGTCATCACGATAAGAAACCATCATCCGCCATTACGGTTGCCAACCATCATCCATCATCACGATTAGAAACCATCATCCGCCATTACGGTTGCCAACAATCATCTGTCATCACGATAAGAAATCATCATCCGTCATCACGGCAACCATCATCCGCCATTTCTAATCTTTGCCATTCAACAGTTTTTTCTTGAACTTGAAACCATCCGTGTTTGCTCTATCAAAATTCATGGTGTCTGTTCAACGATTTAAGGTTGCTTCTCAACAACAATGTTGTTCAGATCATGGTTTGCTGTTCAAATTTCGCCATCTCTTCGAATTTCACAATCGCTTCGAATTTCAAATCAACTCTTCGAATTTCACAGCTCCTGCCCTTATCGTCAGGCGTATGTTCATGTTTATAGCCATACATTTACATTGCCCCGCATGGCGACGTGTTGACGAGGCTGGCGACAGACGTGGTGACGTGCTGACGAGGCTGGCGACGTGTTGACGAGGCTGACGACGTGTTGACGAGGCTGACGACGTGTTGACGAGGCTGATAACGTATTGACGAGGCTGACGACGTGTTGACGAGGCTGACGAAGCTGGCGACAGACATGGTGACGTGTTGACGAGGCTGATAACGTATTGACGAGGCTGACGACGTGTTTACGAGGCTGACGAAGCTGGCGACAGACATGGTGACGTGTTGACGAGGCTAATGACGCATTAAATATCGAGGGCGACGTCAGCGCTGCCCTCAATGACGGTCTCCTCGTCGTCCTCGTCGTCGCCCTCTGGCGCCGGTGATTTGCCGGACGTCACCGCGTCTGTAATGCGAGTAATTCAATTAAGGAGGCATATCAATTAATTAGATCAAATAAATTAAGTAAAGTTAAGTACCTTAAGTATTGAGGCTAATAATTATCAGGAGTTGCTAACTTCGCATTGTTTGCAACGAAGCTCTGAATGAATTGACATGAAACTTGAGATAACGGATTGAGTGTTGGCTAATAATCTCGAATAAAATAGAATTAAAAACGTGAAGGCGCAACCTCACCACGTATATCACAATGTACACGCACCAACCACGCTGTGTGTGTATTCGTACACGCACACTCCCATACAGGCAAAATACACACTCACACAGAGAACTTTGCTATCCTAAAAAGTTCACAGCAAATTAGGATTTACACTGAAGGCAATACGTTTAACTTCCATCACTGGGCACTGTCTAGGAGCTTTAAAAAGAACATGGGCTGCTCAAAACAAAACTGTCTGTTCTACCTCCTCAAACTACGTTCTTAACCCTCTACCGCCTGACACAGGTAACCAGAGCAATATTGTCACAAGCCTACTTCACAAAAGATACATTCTGGTGAGCGCAAAATGACTTGCACTGATGGTTGCCGCCACGTACGACAACTTTAAAATGTTCTCTGTTGCGTTACAAACGTCCTCATGTTGCTACACTCAATAGTTTACGTATAATTTATTCTGAAAGTTATGTTCCCGGAGAGTGACATACTACGGTAGAGGGTTAACTTTAAAGTTATGTTCCCGGAGAATGACACACCGCGGTAGAGGGTTAAATGGATAGAGGAACATATGTCGGTGGATGACGCGATTTCAACGGTACATGTATTAGGAGTTTATATGCAGCATCATTGAAGTGATAGATAAGTATGTCTGCTGACTTTCAACAACCATTACAAATAGTATGATAGAAAATGACTTCAACCTGTCATGCTTCCTATATTCACCTTTCAATTGTTGGTTTGAGCCTGGATTTAAGACGAACAATTAAACATCTTCAGTTTTTTTACTTCACCAAACGAGTGCAGGTTGTGCGCAGTGAAGCAAGCTATTCTCGACCTGACCAGCAATTCGGTACAACATTTTGAAATTCGGATTAGTCAACGAAGTTCTTCACACCATCGAATTGTGTGTGAAAAAAAATTGGGGAACAGAATTTGCTTCAGTCTAGGTAACTAGTAAGAATAACCGGTTTAAATTTGCACTGTCGTAGATATTCCACGGTTCCACTATGAATGTATCGCGTGTGAAGATGCAGTAGTTACTCCCTTTGAATTTACAGGAGGGGTATGCCGATGATCGGTGTAGTATCATGGCAATAAGCTTGTCGTCTGTACATGCATTTCGTTTGAAGTAGCTTAGTTCAAGACTAAAATAAGGACTCCAGCCGGTCCTCTGAAGAATATAGCACACACGCCCCCCCCACACACATACACCACACACACCAGCACCACACACACTCACCACATCTGGGCTTGGTGTGGGTGCGGGTATATGGCATAATACAACACACACGCCCCACACACTCACCACATCTTGGCTTGGTGTGGGTGCGGGTATATGGCAGCTCCACACCATGACGGTCCACACACCAGCAGAGGTTGCCGCTGCCGTGGCACTGCACGGGCCTGTACCAGCCCTCGCTGTCGCACTCTGGGATGTACCCGCCTGGGGTATTAGTTCAAGACTAAAATAAGGACTCCAGTTGGGCCTCTGAAGCATACAGCACTCGCCGCACACACTCACCACATCTGGGTTTGGTGTGGGTGCGGGTATATGGCAGCTCCACACCATGACGGTCCACACACCAGCAGAGGTTGCCGCTGCCGTGGCACTGCACGGGCCTGTACCAGCCCTCGCTGTCGCACTCTGGGATGTACCCGCCTGGGGTGCGTGGGGGTACGTATTAACTATTACATTTATGGTACGTCTTAACGACATTTATGGTACGTCTTAATAACGGCATTTATGGTGCGTCTTAACAACGGCATTTATGGTACGTCTTAACTGCGGCATTTATGATACGTCTTAACTACGGCATTTATGGTACGTCTTAACAACGGCATTTATGGTACGTCTTAACAACGGTATTTATGGTACGTCTTAACAACGACATTTATGGTACGTCTTAACTGCGGCATTTATGATACGTCTTAACTACGGCATTTATGGTACGTCTTAACAACGACATTTATGGTACCTCTTAACAACGGCATTTATGGTACGTCTTAACAATGACATTTATGGTACGTCTTAACAACGACATTTATGGTAAGTCTTAACTACGGCATTTATGATACGTCTTAACTACGGCATTTATGGTACGTCTTAACAACGTCTTTGCGTCTTTATGGTACGTCTTACGTCATTTATGGTACGTCTTAACAACGGCATTTATGGTACGTCTTAACAACATTTATGGTACGTCTTAACTACCGTACGTCATTTAGGGTACGTCTCAACTACGACATTTGTGGTACGTCTTAACTACGACATTAATTGGTACGTATTACGGTATTAACTACGACATTTATGGTAGATGTTAACAACGGCATATATGGTACGTCTTAACTATGACATTTATGGTACGTCTTTACAACGACATTTATGGTACGTCTTAACAACGACATTTATGGTACGTCTTAACTACGGCATTTATGGTACGTCTTAAGAACGGCATTTATGGGACGTCTTAACAACGACATTTATGGTACGTCTTAACTACGGCATTTATGGTACGTCTTAACTACGACATTTATGGTACGTCTTAACTACGACATTTATGGTACGTGTTAGCAATGTGGTATGTGTTAGTAACATGGCACTTAATTAGCCTACATAGCAATAAGGAACGCAGTTACCTAATGGTATTAGATAAACTCTTGGAAATTACTAGTCTCCTGGACCATTCCATTAACCGCTGACTATATAAGTGTTTATAGTTAACTAGCAGCCTAGAGTCACGTCACAAATATCTTATTGGTTAGTAACACTTGCTCCACCTCTAGTCAGCGCTGTCGTCAGGTTAACTAGCAGTCCCTGGCTGGCGTCAGGAATGTTTTATTCACTAGCAACACTCTCTGCTGCTCTAGTAAGCACTAGTTTTATTCACTAGTAACCCTCTCTGCTGCTCTAGTAAGCACTAGTTTTATTCACTAGTAACACTCTCCCCCTTCTCTAGTAATCACTAGTTTACCTAGCAGTCCCTGGCTGGCGGTGCGCAGAGCAGCGCAGGGTCGCTCGCTCTTGTCGTAGCACTTGCACCACTCGCGCCCTGAGAGCCGCCCGTCCCTACGAGGGAAGTTTGGGGTGAGGGGAAGCTATAGTTACCCTATATAGTTATATTGATACGCTTTATGTATATTTTCATTTAGTTACACTACAAGAAGGCGCCCGTCCCTACGGGGGGAAGTGGGGGATGAGGGGAAGCTTTAAGTTACCCTATATAGTTATATAGTTACCCTATGTTGATACGCTTCATGTATATTTTCATTTTGTTACCTTATATGATGGTTTTTGGTTAGGATATAAAATCAGGAACGAAAGAAAAGACCTTGATACGCTATATAAATAGTTTTATGCACTGGGCACTAGCACATTAAACTGGACAATAGACTCAATAGTACAGAAGAAGATTGAGGAAAAATATTTTGTTACGCTATAACAGAGTTAATGATTACGGAAATAAGTCAAATGTCCTTTACAGGAATATGAGGGATCAGTGGGCAGCATTTGAATGATGGGAACATTTATAAATAGTATTGGATATTATCGTTTATATGTCAAGGAAAGCTGAGGACAATTAAAGCGCTGTAGCGCTTCTCAATATTACGCAAATTTTAGGAGATAACATCCGGGACTCGCCGTGACCGCAGTAAGATAGTTCATATCGAAAGTAAAAGACTCATAATAATTAATATTATCAATATAACATTTAATAGAAGAGCATCCGTAATATGAATACTATTAATATTAATTATGATAGAAGAGCATCCGTAATATGAATATTATTAACATAAATTATGAAAGAAGAGTTCAGAACCTGTCGAGGTCACATCTGTCGAGGAAGGGCTTGATGCAGCGCTCGCGGTCGTCGTGCTCCAGCTGGAAGAGGTCCCTGGCGTCCAGCACTCCTGAGCCATCGCTGTCCAGGTGCCCGAACATCCACGACACCTCGCGCTTACACCACGACGGCGCTGTTACGGCACAGGGGGTTACGTTACGGGGGTTACGGGCTACAGTAGGGGAAAACTATGGGCTACAGTAGGGGTTACGTTACGGGGGTTACGGGCTACAATAGAGGTTATGTTACGGGGTCTACGAGCTACAGTAGGGAAAACTATGGGCTACAATAGGGGTTACGTTACGAGGGTTACGGGATAGAATATAGGGGTTATGTTACGGGTGTTACGGGCTACAGCAGAGATGTTAGGTTACGGAGGTTACGGGCTACAGTAGGGGTTACGTTACGGGGGTTACGGGCTACAGTAGGGGTTACGTTACGGAGGTTACGGGCTACAGTAAGGGTTACGTTACGGGAGTTACGGGCAATCTCTCATGTTACCACTCTCGCGCCTCTCATGGTACCACACCTCTCATGGTACCACACCTCTCATGGCACCACACCTCTCATGGTACCACACCTCTCATGGTACCACNGCGTAATTAGAATAACGTAACTCCAGTAACGTAATTAGAATAACGTAACTCCAGTAACGTAATTAGAATAACGTAACTCCAGTAACGTAATTAGAATAACGTAACTCCAGTAACGTAATTAGAATAACGTAACTCCAGTAACGTAATTAGAATAACGTAACTCCAGTAACGTAATTAGAATAACGTAACTCCAGTAACGTAATTAGAATAACGTAACTCCAGTAACGTAATTAGAATAACGTAACTCCAGTAACGTAATTAGAATAACGTAACTCCAGTAACGTAATTAGAATAACGTAACTCCAGTAACGTAATTAGAATAACGTAACTCCAGTAACGTAATTAGAATAACGTAACTCCAGTAACGTAATTAGAATAACGTAACTCCAGTAACGTAATTAGAATAACGTAACTCCAGTAACGTAATTAGAATAACGTAACTCCAGTAACGTAATTAGAATAACGTAACTCCAGTAACGTAATTAGAATAACGTAACTCCAGTAACGTAATTAGAATAACGTAACTCCAGTAACGTAATTAGAATAACGTAACTCCAGTAACGTAATTAGAATAACGTAACTCCAGTAACGTAATTAGAATAACGTAACTCCAGTAACGTAATTAGAATAACGTAACTCCAGTAACGTAATTAGAATAACGTAACTCCAGTAACGTAATTAGAATAACGTAACTCCAGTAACGTAATTAGAATAACGTAACTCCAGTAACGTAATTAGAATAACGTAACTCCAGTAACGTAATTAGAATAACGTAACTCCAGTAACGTAATTAGAATAACCGAACTCCAGTAACGTAATTAGAATAACGTAACTCCAGTAACGTAATTAGAATAACCGAACTCCAGTAACGTAATTAGAACTCAAGTAACGTAATTAGAATAACGTCACTCGAGTAACGTAATTAGAACAAAAATGATTTAAGATACTCGTATTCATTCGAGATGTTGCTGCACTATAGCGGGAATAAAGTAATGATTGTCACACAACATAGATAGGGCACCAACTTCCCGATGTTGCAGAATTTAGTAAATCACCAATAATATTAGAGCATCTGTTCTAATAACAATGGAAGGATCGCAACCATAATGTTCAGTTGCTTATGTATATGTTTCATATGGTTCAGTTGCCTATGTAGATGTTTCATATTGTACAGTTGCCTATGTAGATGATTCATATCGTACAGTTGCCTATGTAGATGATTCATATTCTACAGTTGCCTATGTAGATGTTTCATATCGTACAGTTTCCTATGTAGATGATTCATATTCTACAGTTGCCTATGAAGATGTTTCATATTCTACAGTTACCTATGAAGATGTTTCATATTCTACAGTTGCCTATGAAGATGTTTCATATTCTACAGTTGCCTATGAAGATGTTTCATATTCTACAGTTGCCTATGAAGATGTTTCATATGGTTCAGTTGCCTATGCAGATGTTTCATATTGTACAGTTACCTATGTATATTTTTCATATGGTACAGTTTCCTATGTAGATGTTTCATATTCTACAGTTGCCTGTGAAGATGTTTCATATTGTACATTTGCCTATGTAGATGTTTCATATCGTACAGTTTCCTATGCAGATGTTTCATATTCTACAGTTGCCTATGAAGATATTTCATATTGTACAGTTGCCTGTGAAGATATTTCATATTGTACAGTTGCCTGTGAAGATGTTTCATATTGTACAGTTGCCTATGTAGATGTACCAGGACAATAATAATTATTATTGGTCCATCAGAATCCCAGTTTGTTACGCATCCATTTGCAGGAATAAAGTGTGAAAATTCTTAGTGGCTTTGACTTAACATTACGATATCGGTACGTTCCTTCCTCAGCACAAAGTTCTAATTTTCAGTCAATATTGTGAATATTGAATACATTGCGTTAGATATTTAACAAATGTTCTAGCAATGCCACGTTATCAGTGTATTGCTTTATATCGAGACCGCGAGCTCATTTTCTTATCAAGGGTCAGGATATTATTTAGTATAGATTTCATTGATAAGAACTAGAGGCGAGAATTTTTAGTTGAAATTTGATTTTGTTGACGTTAGGGCGGATGGGTGAGGGGAACGTGAATGAGTTTCGAATAAAAGTTAAGATGATAATATGAATAATAGCGTTAATACTAGCGCCGCTCATGCACACATCCATCGATGTGTTACTCACGGGTTCCAAAGGCCGGATCCCTTGTGAATCAAGTCACGAAAAGTTCAAGAATCGGCAACAGGCCATGGGCCTATGTCTTCAGTGCCGACACTTCTACACTATTCTATACATTCACGAGTTACTCAGGTCGTCACTCACCATTCGGTCCCCAGATGTTGTTGACGGGAGCGCGCGTTTCGTCTTTGGTTTGGTCGTTCTGCAAATTAAAATCTTCATCAACAATGATACAAATAATGCTAAAGCTAACCATATTAGAGGTTTAAAGTGCTTCTAATTATAAACAATTTTAATAAAATACTTGAAGCGTTTGAGCTCACGGCATTCTTGTTCTTCTTGTTCTTCCTGTTGTTCCTGTTGGCAGGTTTGTGCTGCGCTGTCGCGGGGCTGCGGTCGGCGCTGTTGCCGGCGCTGCGGTCGGTGCTGTTGCCGGCGCTAGCGCTGCGCAGGCGCTGCGTCGACCGAACCTTCGCCATGAGGGACCCCCTGCTGCGGCGGGAGGAGCGGCGCCCCCCTTCTGGGCAACGGGAGTTTTGAGTGTTGGGGGTGGGGGTCAGGGTCAAGGGAAATGACAATTGAATACTGGCCAAAAGAATTATTATTCTTGAATATCATTAAAATTCAAATTTTGAGAGCGGCAGTTACTGCCTGAACTGCGGATTTGGTGATAAGGAGTCCCACATGGCAGTTAACTACAGTAGTTACTTATGATCCTTAATGAACTGTTGGTATTTGTATTTCATTAGAGCTAAATGAACAGCACGAGAGATCGAAATGTCAATTAATGTTCGACTAAAGCAAAAATACGCTACTTATATTATAATGAACATGACGACATTTTGCATCATTAGATCACTTTACAGAGGCTATTTATTCTAATAGTCATTATGGTGATCAAATATGAAATAATAGATAACTATTAATGGTTATTTATCTCTACGATTATTTGGATGATTATATCACCTTTACAAGGGCAGAAGCCTTTACACGCTACTTGTACGTTGGCTTGATGGATGCAGTTGTGGAAGTGGAGACGACACATGGATGAGTATGTGTGGTTGTCTGATCCACACAGGAACACAGGACGGGTCAGGGGACAGCCGCCGCACTGCCTGTGTGGCAAAGCAAGTAATACAAATATAGAATCATACAAGATACTTCATAGCTTTCAATATTTAGGTTATTTTTCTAAATTATCAATATTATTATGACTAGATTATATACAAAGTACTATATAATATTAATGATAGTATCAGATGAGTCGAAATAGTTACAGAAATATATGAGAAAGGCGTAGTAAATAATTTATTTTTTTTCTCCCATAATAATTTTTTTGATAGTGCATTTACGGGTGAGGAAAACGAGGGTGATTAGAGGGTAGCTGGTCCCCATATGTAGTGCACATAATTATCTCATAATGATTGTGCCGCACATATTTTATCATTATGTCACTCAAAAGACCATAATGATTATGACCATAATATGATGATTGTGATTATCTCACAAGACCACAATATGATGACTATGCCGCACACGACATGATCATCTTATGATGATTATGCGCAGGCGACATGAACGCCTCATGATTATTAAGTCACAAGCGACCTGATAATATTACGATGATTACGCCGTTAACATTGATATAATTTTATATAATGATTAGAGGGGTAAAAAACAGACACTTGTCTGAAGTAGAGGGAAAAAGAAGAGGCGGTATCCTAATTAACGCAGTCCTTCCTCAGGCATCCCGATTTATGGTTGTAATTAACGCGTCCTAGCAACCACACCNCAACGCCAACACAGTGAGCAGGAAGCAGCCAGCCAAGCAGTGAGCAGAAGAACAAATAATGTGCGTGCGCCGTGAGCCCAAATTTCGCTCGCCTGCTCTGCAATAAAGCAAATGCGGCCAAGAATGAGGCGGCGAAACGTTTACCCTCACCGCGCTGTGCCCTCGGTCTTTAGAGGGGAACTAAAGCTTGTTGGGAATGAGGGTTGGTGTAATAATAAAGGCTTGTGGCATGAAGAGGAGATTTGCGGCCAAATGAAGGATTTCTGGTAAATAAATAAATGATTGCATTGGCAGGAACATAATGGTGAGAAAAAAGGTAAAGGAAAGGCGTTCGAGTTTCTTTAATAGACGCTCTCTCTGATATAAAAGTTTGATAGGAGGTAAGAACCTGCAAACCAGCATTTGGGGCGTTTACAAGGAAATACGAGATAATATGATTGGGTACTGATGTAATTTAAAGCTAGAAAGAAATTATTTAGATAAATGAAACTCTTCCAGAAATGCAGGATTCACGACAAATATGTCCTGCTAGTAGGAATGAGGCTCGCAGGACGCTGCTGGCACTAAGAATGGCAAAAAAATGTGTTCAGGAGGTCCGACTAAAATGTTTCTTTAATGAAACACTGAGTTTATTGGGAAGTTGAGACTTTAAATTATTAAGGAATTATCGAGGAACTGAAATTTTCTTTGCGCATTTAAGCCGAATTAATGGCTTAATGGATCTAGAACGAGTAAATGCTTTCATGGTAAGAAAAGAAGAATCAGAATTGAATTGTTTGCATTATGCAAATAGACATTTTTGAGACGCTAAGAAGGCTTTAGAGTGAGACAAAGACTTCAGCTGACGAATAGACTCAGCTTGATGCGCATGTGAGGGTAGATGCGAGGGTAGATGTGAGGGTAGATGTGAAGGTAGATGTGAGGGTAGACGTGAGGGTAAAAGTGACAGTAGAAATGAGAGTAGTTGTGAGGGTAGTTGTGAGGATATATATGAGGGTAGATGTGAGGGTAGATGTGAGGGTAGATGTGAGGGTAGATGTAGGGTAGATGTGAGGGTAGATGTAAGGGTAGATGTGAGGGTAGATGTGAGGGTAGATGTGAGGGTAGATGTGAGAGTGGATGTGAGGGTATGTGAGGGTAGATGTGAGGGTAGATTTGAGGGTGGATGTGAAGGTAGATGTGAGGATATATGTGAGGGTATATGTGAGGGTAGATGTGAGGGTAGGTAGATATGAGGGTAGATGTGTGGGAAGATGTGAGGGTAGATTATGTCACCCTAGAGAGTTACAGGAGTAGTTACAAATATTAAGGCTGGAACAGAATGAAATGGTTGTACAGCTGTAGCTCCCGCTAATTTTGAATATAGCGCCAGGTGGTAAAATCTTAGAACAAATGAGCTCTTTACTTGTAAAAGTAAACTTTGGAAAAAGACTTGGCTTTGGAAAATTCCGAATTGTCACACGAAGAAAGTTTATAAAAGTTCAAAGTTGACTAATGAAGAACTTGGTACACAGCATCCCATAGCAGAGCGCCAGAGCAGCGCATGGCAGAGCAGCAGAGCAACGCATGGCAGAGCAGCAGAGCAGCAGAGTAGCAGAGCAGCAGAGTAGCAGAGCAGCGCATGGCAGAGCAGCAGAGTTGGGTGCCAGGATATTACCAGGAAATGACTTGGCTGGTCTGGTAGCACAAACTTCCCTTCACTTCCTTCATCCAAACAAAAACAAATCCGAAGAACTGTTATGAACTGCTCAAATACTGGCAGATTTTGGAAGGCATTAAAATATTTCGCTACAAGGTCCGAATTTTTTTTTAGGATATTAAATATTGCTATATCTATGTAGTATTCAATCTTACAGGTGCCGTTTATAAATCAGGAGCTCTAGCTGATAGAATTGGTCAAAAATACCCAAAACATTTTGGTTTTATATTATATAAAGCGCAGCAAATAGATAAACTGAGAATTAAGGAAGTTATGACGCATCATCATGTCACAATGTGGAACCGGAGCACCGTACTGGCTACCACGACGACAACTAACGAAATTAATGATTTTTATTGTAAGAATTTCAGAAGAGGGAAGACATTGTGAAGGTAAGGGAGAAGAGGGAAGATATTGTGAAGGTAAGGGAGAAGAGGGAAGATATTGTGAAGGTAAGGGAGAAGAGGGAAGATATTGTGAAGGTAAGGGAGAAGAGGGAAGATATTGTGAAGGTAAGGGAGAAGAGGGAAGATATTGTGAAGGTAAGGGAGAAGAGGGAAGATATTGTGAAGGTAAGGGAGAAGAGGGAAGATATTGTGAAGGTAAGGGAGAAGAGGGAAGATATTGTGAAGGTAAGGGAGAAGAGGGAAGATATTGTGAAGGTAAGGGAGAAGAGGGAAGATATTGTGAAGGTAAGGGATAAGAGGGAAGATATTTTGAATGTAAGGGAGAAGAGGGAACACATTTTCTACCGAAACATATCCAGAAAATTCTGCCGTCTCTAATATCAAGCCCAGAAATGTTCAATTTGCCGTCTGAGAAAGAATGCAATGAGATGATAAATTGAGGTCAGTTAGGAAGCTGCTGTCGGCCTGAAGCAATTAGTCTGGCAGGCGAGAGCAAGAGATAACTCTGATGGTTAGAGGGGGGGACTGTGTGGAGGGAGGGAGGGGGCATGATCGAGGGTTGTTTTCTATAAAGATAGGATTTCTAGGACTCTTGGGGCTCATGGTCTTCTAGGATTTCTAGTATTGTAAGGACTCTCAAAACAAGGGTTGAGATTTTTTTGTCTCGACAATGAAAATGTATTTATTAGCACCCTGAAATTGCGGATGGATGGTTGACTTCCGTTCGAGTTCAACCTACATCTCGAATTGAAACAGTTTTATTAATTTAAGAGTTTTCAACTTCAACTCTCAGACCTGGAAAGTTGTGATCACTTCTTAACTGTGTTAATAGTACCGAGAAAAATAACGAAACAGACCGAATTTTCCGGAATACGCGGAGAGACGAAAAATAATTTTCCGAAATATGTAGTTTTGTAAACCTATTCCGTGTGAAGCGAAGTGAATGATGAAGTGCCACGCGTCTAGACTAACGAGAACCGAAATGTAAGCTAATAATTTGCCTGCCTTCAACTGAGCCTGGAGTCTTACCTTGTAATCCGGCGTCAAGATTACAGAAGATCCATATCTGCTATCTATCTACATTGGAATAATATAAGAGTAAAATATGCTAATTATGATAATAATACATTACAGGAGATCCCTATCTGCTGTTTATCTACATTGGAATAATATAAGAGTATAATATATGTTAATAACGATAATAATGCATTTACATACATTGGAATTGCATCTCCAGGGGTGGGAAAATAAGGGAAACACCTAAAATTCTGATATCGCATTTTTTTAATATGGTATAAACAATGCAAATGTGACCTTTTTTATGTTTTATTGTTTATTTTTACTGCTAATTGATATTTTATCATTGCACCGATGTTTATAGTATATTTTTGTGTCATAACCTAACCTATAACCTATAAATGGCAAACTCTGACTTTCAAAGAGGCTAACTTATTGGTGCCCGTATGGCAGCTGCCATACAGGCAGTGTGACCGAAATTTCCCGAATGCTTGACGTCTCTAGAGGTACTGTCTCAAAAAGTAAAGACTGCTTTTGAAAGAGAAAGAAAAACGTCTTCAGCAAATCACAGGTCTGGCCGAAAGTCGAAGTTGTCTGAGAGAGACCGTCGGCATACCTAAATCGAATTGTGAGGGACAATTGAAAGACCGCGGCCGTTAAAATTACAGCAGGCCTCAATGTACGCCTACAGAACCCAGTTTCCAAAAAGACTGTCCACCGAAAACTGCACAGATCAGGATTCTATGGAGGAGCTGCAATTAGAAAATATCTGCTTTCAAATACAAATGCTTCAAAGCATTTAGAGTGGTGTAAGAATTAGTCTAACGAGCAGCGGAAAAATGTGGTTTTCTCTAACAAATCATGGTTTACCTTTCTAGCGCATTGTCTCATATATGGAAAAAAGCGCTATTGTGCTCGTCATGTTCGTCTGTCTGTCCATCTGTCTGTCCGTCCGTCCGTGACTTGTCCGTCGACGAGAAAATGCGCTCTCTGTCACTCAGTGCATTGAGTAATGAGTTATATTTTTTCCAACCTCTGGCCGAGTTTACGTTTGTAGACAGCCAAAAGAGTCATTTAATCCCGACTGCCTCCTCACAACCGTAAAACATGGCGGGGGATCTGTAAAGACCTGGGAAAATCCGGCGGACCAATGATTCCTCTTCATGGAAGAATCAACAGCCGTGACTATTAAGGAATTTTGGAAGACTAAGCTCATACAATGGCGCAAGCACTGTTACCGGAGGAAACAGTGCACTGTTGTAGCATCTTTCAAGATGATAATGCTCCGATCCCTACAGCTGGAATTGTTAAAAAATGGTATGAGGGACATTCTAATGAAGTTGAGCATCTCATTTTGCCACCACAATCACCAGACCTGTATATTATTGAGCATTTATGGTTGATTTCAGATATGCATGTCAAAAGTCGATACCCGTCGCCATCGTATTTAAAAGAACTGGAGGGCGTTTTATAACTGAAGAATGGGTTATAAATCCTCTGGAAACGGTTCATATTTGTACGAATCAATACCACGGAGAATTGAGGCTGTAATTGCCGCAAATGGTGGAACTACACCATACTGAAGTATATTTTATGGATTTCTCAGACGTTTCCAGTATTTTGTCCAACCCTTGTACGTAGGAATTCCAATATTTTATGTATTTAGAATATACAAGTCTAGTTACGACTGAGCTGCAAGGTTGGTATTCGAATTATTGCTTACCTGCTAGCGTAGGGTTCAATAATAATATTATTACTTTAATAGTATTATTAATATTACTTACTTGCTGGCAAACGGCTGGCGGTCGAGGGTCGGGGCTTGCGACGCTAGCGGCAGGGCCGACGTCGCAGGTTCGTCCGCAGCTGCTTCCTTCACACTTTCTTCTTGTACCTCGTCTTCATCATCCTCTTCATCATCATCATCGTCATCATCGTAGTATTCATCATCATCATCCTCCTCCTCCTCCTCATCATCATCATCGTCTGGGAACTGTCCAGCCTCGTCGCCAAGCGGCAGCTCGTCGCCGGTGAAGGCCTTAATGTAGTCGTCCCTGCCGGAGACCTCATCGTCCGACGAGGGTGGGGACGAAGAGGGAGCCAGGGGCACCACACGGTCCCTGAGGTCAAAAGAGGTTAATAATACCAATGCTGTGTTATGATATTGATGATAAACAGGCGTTTATTATCGAATTAAATGTCTTGGAGATTTATTATATATTCACGCAGACAAAACACCTAATAATAAAAATTGTATCAGCTGCAAGATGCAGACTTAAGTTATAAAAGGACATTTTTCTTATTTTCTTCCCCCCAAGCAATGGGAAATGTAAGGCACGGCCTCCCCTCCTCCCCCGGGACCACGTCTGGACTCCAAATTCCGCGCCGGATTCATATTTTCAATCGAAAATTCCAGGCTCCGCAGACCAGCAAAGCACTGAACTCGTAAAACGCACCTTAAATTTTGCGGACAAACGTAGGCCGGTGAAATAGTCATTCCCTTATCCCTTATTTTCTTAGTAGGCATGACATAGTCATTCCCTTATCAATATAGCATTCAATTATAGAGTTTAGTGAAATTGATTGCGCTTCGGGCTGCAAGTTGAAGAAACTAAGAGGCAGTATATGTTAATTCAAGAAGCATTTCTAAGTTTAAGCAGACGAATGATTGTTTAATTAGATGGCAGGCCTCGTGAGCACTAGTACGAGTATCGTCGGTTGTTCTCGCTACAGCCAAGTGAGCTGTCAAGATATGAACAGGTAACATGTGAAACAAGTAGGATAAAAAAAAACTTTTAAGAATTTGTTTATATGATATGAAAACATGTGTTGCGTAGCGATATAAGAAGCGGACGTCGAAACAGCTAATAAAAATGCAGGTGCAATATAATATGAAAATCGCTTGATTGCTTAAGTCGCAAGTTTATCAATAATTCTAAATGCCGCTTACAGTTCATACCCCCTCGAGATTGTAAATAGATAAGTTTGTCTGCTCATGTTTACCTCATTCTTATTTGTTTTCATTCGACAATTTATGTTTTAATATCTTCAATGTGAATTTTAGCTTGCTAATTGTTTGTACTTGTGTTTTTGGTTTTTGAACTGACGATGGAGCTGAATTCCGAAACTTTAACTTTCATGAGAAATTGTGAATTTTGTCTATTTTCTTTGTTTTAAAATTCCTGATATAATATTGTGTTGTTATAGCTAATTGCATTACAAATGTATTTTACTTCGTTATTAGAAGTGACGAAACGAAACGTTTCTGATGGCGTCATCGGCTCCCCCCCACACCCCCAAGAGGGGAGTGGGGGGTTCTCAATTTGCAGGGGCTGAGCCTCCATGCTCCCTGTGGGGCGCTTAGAGAGCTCGGTACTCAGTGCTGCCGAGTTCTGATCAGAACTTATGGCGAGTGGAACTTAGAACTGAGGGATTCTTGAGGAGAGGGGAGAGAGGAGTGAGGGGCAGTGAGGGGCAGTGAGGGGCAGTGAGAGGGACAGTGAGAGGGGCATTGAGAGGGGCAGTGAGAGGGGCAGTGAGAGGGGCAGTGAGAGGGGCATTGAGAGGTGCAGTGAGAGGGGCAGTGAGAGGGAGAGAGTATACCAAACATGAGAATTTAGGGAGAATATCCTCGCCACCTCGCGGGGCACACCGGCGCCAGGAGGAAGAGGGGCAGAGGGACAGAGGGGCAGAGGGGCAGAGGGGCAGAGGGGCAGATAGGCAGAGGGGGCAGCGAAGCAGAGGGACAGGAAGGGCAGATTGGCAGAGGGGCAGAGGGGCAGAGGGGAAGAGGGGCAGAGGGCAGGAGGGGCAGAGGGGCCAAGGCCCTGAACTCTGTCGCCGTGGCGGTGGCGTGGACGGCGACCACGCGGCGCCGCCACATCGATCTGGTGCAGTGCACCGTGCTGTGGTGCAGTGCACCGTGCTGTGGTGCAGTGCACCGTGCTGTGGTGTCACTGCACTTCACAACATTCCTCCCACAACTTCCATGTCACAAACATTCCCGCTGACATAACGCGGTCATGTTTATTCCATTAATGGTGTTCAGCGTTCAATAAGGCTCAGAATTACAAAAAAAAAAATTCGATAAATTCGATTCGTCAGCTTATAAATAAAATTAATGAAAGTCTTGAAAAATAAATTTTATTTGAGTTTCAAAGAAGCTGGTCCTATTAACTAGGTGACTGCACATGAATCCGTCTACGAATGTTCAGCAAATAACACTTTTAGTTTATTTTATTCAGCCAATTTTTCAGAACGTTTGTGTCTAGCGCCGCCTATTTTTTAGGACGTTTTTTCTTGGATTGAGGATTGCTAACAGCAGGGTGCCGCCCCCCCCCTCCAGCAGGGTGCCCCCCCCAGCAGGGTGCCCCATCCCCCCATGGGGCCGTTAGGGGTTAGGGATCCCTAACGGCCTGGGGCTCAGCTCCTGACGTTTATTACAAATGGAAATGTTGTGAGTTTGCAACACCCGAAATAAAAGAAAATATATACCATTAGCTGCGCAACAAATAGACGGATGAATGCTAAGCGAAGTGAGTCATGAAGGTTGTATTCCGAGGCATGAATGCGTAAATGTATGAATTGCATGAATAAATTAATTGATATGAAATATCGAATTTCTAATCCATGATAGAATTTTAACCTCGTCGTTGAACGGAAGTCAAGAATGCACCTGAGAAGAAGTCAAGAATTGGACTGAGAAGTAACAATTGCATATAGGATGGAATATGGATTTAACATGATAACCCACTTGTATAGGATGGGTCCTGACGACTCACTAAATTTGAAACATCTTGATGAAGAAATCGAGACAGGAAAATGCAAATAACTCACACATAAATGAACGAGTCATATTGTCCAGATACTGACACTTTTTGACGCACAGCACGATCTGAGAGCGGGCGTAGCACTGATACGTCCTTTTGCCGGTATAAACTGGGTCAGGATGACACACTCAAGGGCTAAAAGTGCATCGTTATTTGGACATATTTCTCTGAGAAATTCGTGGCTCAAGCTCTGCCAGTAACACGGTTGGTGCGACACGCAACATGAATACTCAAAGAAATAACTGGGATTATAATAAGAGAACCAAGCAATGGAATGACAGGACGGAATATTGAATTATAAAAAAAAATATAACTCAGTACTCATTGTAGTGAGTGACAGAGATCGCATTTTCTCGTCGACGAAAACTTGAGGTCACGGACGGACGGACAGACAGACGGACAGACAGACAGACGGACATGGCGAACACAATAGTGCATTTTTTCCATAAATGAGAAAATGCGCTAAAAATGAGACATGTGAGTGGTGAGACGAGAGGATGAGGGAGGGTGAGGGCTGAGACAGCCTGAGGGTTTCATTAGACGCAGCGACTGACGGCACGACAGACCGGCGTCTTCAATAATGCCGTCCGCTGCAAATAACGGCGGAGACGTGCAAATAACCGCGGTATCTTTAAAATAACGACAGAGAAGTGCAAATAACCGCGGTCTCTAAAATAACGTTGCAGCTACTCTATAACTAATGGTTGCTGCTGCTTCACTACATTTGGTGCAATGCTCGCTTATGGTTCTCACTCGAAATTTCTTGAGAAGCCCCACAGTCAAACATAACAAAATTATGTCAAAACAGCTTGTTCACAACGGAACAACTATGGCACTATCGAGGAAACATGAAAGCTTTGCTGTATTGAGTGACAAAATAGCATGAATAAATCGAGACAGTCTGCTGGCACTGACAATGATGACACTAATTTACAAATGACACTAATTACGGAACTGCGATATTCCATCTGAATATAGGTTAGTATGAATTAAAAGTTTAGTATTGAAATCTACAACGAACAGAAAACTGTCATGCCTGTACTGATTCATAAAAAAATATTCTAACTGATTCTCGGTATTTGTTAGCTGTCGGCTGATAATATAAGCTATGAAAGATCCTTATAATTTGAACCTAATGAGTATGAAGTCATTGACGCATAATGTTCGGCAAGCGCGTTAGGTTGACATTGAAAAAACTCTACGGAAATTACTTCAAATATTTCAGTATCTTTCGAGAGTTATATTTTGTAATGTGAAAGCTTCAAGCAACACGTGCCAACTCCGACGACGACACTTCACTCACTGGTGCTTGTAACTTCCTTCCAGCACTCGTGCTGATTAAAACCTAAACCACTCTTAAAGTGCCTACACTTCTCACACGCACTTCTCTTATTGCTTTCCACGGAACTCTTCTCACTAACGTTCTCCCTAACACTAACCCTAGACATAGCTCTTCTGTATAACACTTCTCGCAACGCACGCCTTTTAAAATTCACTCAATGCCCTCTTCAAAATCCCTTTCCAAACCACTCCACCCTCACACTGCTTCTAGAAATTCATTTATCAGCCTTCTCTCCCAAAAACTTATATAGATGTTTTGCTTATTTTTCTGACATAGTCATATGTCATGCCCTTAAAATTCACCAAAGCCAAGCCTACCCAGACAAACTCATCCCATCCTCACCCCACTCATCCCGACCTCGGCGCGGTCCACACAGACCGCTGTGTATTTGTCCCGCAATATACAGCCCGCCACTCACCCTGACCTCGCGACCTCGGCGCGGTCCACACACACAGCTGTGTATTTGTCCTGCAGTATACAGCCCGCCACTCACCCTGACCTCGCGACCTCGGCGCGGTCCACACACACAGCTGTGTATTTGTCCTGCAGTATACAGCCCGCCACTCACCCTGACCTCGCGACCTCGGCGCGGTCCACACACACAGCTGTGTATTTGTCCTGCAGTATACAGCCCGCCACTCACCCTGACCTCGCGACCTCGGCGCTGTCCACACACACAGCTGTGTATTTGTCCTGCAGTATACAGCCCGCCACTCACCCTGACCTCGCGACCTCGGCGCGGTCCACACACACAGCTGTGTATTTGTCCTGCAGTATACAGCCCGCCACTCACCCTGACCTCGCGACCTCGGCGCGGTCCACACACACAGCTGTGTATTTGTCCTGCAGTATACAGCCCGCCACTCACCCTGACCTCGCGACCTCGGCGCGGTCCACACACACAGCTGTGTATTTGTCNTAAGCGCTCTATTCAACCCATAAGCGCCACATTCAACCCATAAGCGCTCCATTCAACCCATAAGCGCTCCATTCAACCCATAAGCGCTCCATTCAACCCATAAGGGCTCCATTCAACCCATAAGCGCTCCATTCAACCCATAAGCACTCCATTCAACCCATAAGCGCTCCATTCCCACCCATAAAACTTCCCAGTTTCGAGGCCTCATCGGTTTTGTGGGCGCAAAAGATGGCCGTGCCATTAGTCATGTCCTAATCTCGCCATTCAACTACGATGCATGGCGACTTTTGTTCGAATTTTCACTGAACGTATATTTTTCTCGAACCTGCGCCGTAAATTGATATTCTCATTCTACAGAAATCTGGGAGTTTACGGTGACGGTTAAAAATACAAAATCTTATGCATTCAACAACAGTTTTCATCTGTTTTATTTTTTTTTGTGAAATGGCTATTAGATGCAGATTATTTTAACTTTATTCATGTTCCACATAACATCCTGTCATGGCTACGGTTCTCCATGTACAGGCATCACATTGCAGGAGCTTTATATTCTAATCATCTAATTAAATTTTCAACTAACATAATTCAAAGCGTAACAAACATGGCGACCGCACAGACAAAGTGCATGTCCTGGACTCTAATTTTCAAGGCGCCTGAAGTTTACTTGTGAGTCTTGAAACACACGTAAAACTCGTCGTCGAGCTCGTCTCTAATTAAATTACAACGAGGCTGCGGCCCCAGGAAATGTGAGTGTCGGCTCCAAAAATAAGTACTTCAACGGAATTATTCTTGTCTAACATTGGAATTTATTAGCTTTTATGAGCACACTTCAGTACATAACAGAGCAATTCAAAGCAAGCTAAGCCACGGTCACTGCATCGGCATATCATCGGCTTGCCACGGTCACGGCATCGGCATATCATCGGCTTGCCACGGTCACTGCATCGGCATATCATCGGCTGGCCACGGTCACGGCATCGGCATATCATCGGCTGGCCATGATTCACTACGCGAATATGAACTCCATTGGACACTTGCCAGCAGCTGTGGCGAGCTAACTTCAAAAGTTCACGACAAAGCATGTGAATTATCCAGGCAATATTGCACGCTTGATGCTGGCGAGCAACTTCGGCCGTCGGTGGTGAGCGTCAAAAAACACGGCGATGGTCGCTTAATTGGACAACTTTTGGCATTTGCGGCAATAGTGGCGACACCAACGGAATATCGACAGCGATTGGCCGCTCAGATTTGCTTCCGCCGTGAATTTTGTTGTGATTTTTGCCAGGAATTTTAAGGGACTTTTGCCATCGGCAGCGATTGGTTGGACTCACCAATTTCATGAATTGAAGACTAGGAATATAGCAATTTTATGTGATATTGGAGCCTCTTTAAACTCGAATTATGTAAAATGCATGATGTTATCAGCTGACAGAATATATACCACTCCACCCTTAAAATCATATGTTGTGTATATGGCCAGCAAAAATTTGTATCCACGATATTGATTATCGTAGGGCCAATCTAGCAATTATCTGGTCTTCATTTCACAGCCTTTGAGATCATTCACATGAATCACAATGGGTAGGGAGAAGAAGTTATTAATATTTTATACATAAATCGAAACTAAAGCATTCATAATTCATTTTACCTTGTTTCGGAAGCTCTTCTTTCATTCAGAGATTTAGTGAAATAAGTAATTACAATCTCTTCATCTCTAAATTAAATACCGAGTTGAAATATAATCCAGCAGACAATTCTTCATTCTACGAATTCTTGAATCTTGATCGTTAAATGTAATCTACCGAGACTTAGTATCAGTTTATTTTGTCGAAGTATATTAAAGGGAGAAGTTCCCAGATCCGAGCACTGATTAACTGACCTCGAGGCGCATGAGAAAATCTATAGCAATATTTCAGCTTAAAGCAATCAGTTCTTCACTGCAGTTGGAAGCGCTCTAAAGGCTCTCTCTTATCAGCGCGGCCGAGGCAGACGTGATAAACGTTTATGTTCACTGCATATGTGGCCAATCGCTGGCCAGCGATAAGACGTCCATAATTTAAATTCAGCTCTGAACGCTTGATTACTTCCAAGATTCAGGAACAGAAAACTTTTAGAAAAATGCCGAACATTTTTTTTCTAATCTAATTCTTGGAATTTGCAATTTGTGAGCAGTCTAAAGATTGTTACAGAGCCCCACTCAGATTATTTTGAAGCTTGTGATCCACAATCACGAACGAGTAAGTCAAAATGGGTTGTTGATTGCATATTCACGACCGAGTAAGTATAAAAATAAGTTGTTAGCGACGAAATTGAATAAGTTGTTAGCGTTGAAAGTTGAAATTTCTCAACACAGGCGTTGATCGTTTGATATACAGCAGCAGCACATGCAACAAATTCAACATCTCCTGCAGCTGCAGCAGATGTACTAGATGCAGCAGATTCAACAACTGCTGCAGCTGCGGCGGATGTATTAGATGCNACCATTCCCATTTCAGGAATGGGCAAATCAGTGCAGGAAACTCGGTTTGTAGAGAGCAATTTCTGTTGATTGGAAAGCCATTGGAAAAATTGCATGGAGCTCAAGAGTCTGGCGTCGAGTGAAGGGAAGGATCTAAATGTCGTTCGACTGATTTCTTTTGTGTATGCATAATTGAACTTAACTTACTTCAACAAGTATTCAAGTATGAATATCGTCATGAATTATGAAATTCGTTTGTGCAATTGAGAAGCGATGGGCTAAATTTAAAGATAAGAGACTAAAAAATGGAAAAGGATTAGTTATTTGAAAACAAATACACGACATGCTAGCGAAGAATTTTTATACGAGATTCTCTAAATTAGTAGATGGAAGCTGAACTTGAAATTAGGACGCAGTGCAGGATGCACCGAAACTTTTTCATGGCCCTATATTAGTTACTGACATAATTCGACGGCACATGTTACAGTGCGACTTTGAGGCCACAGCTTTCGGTGAGTATTAGAAAAGCAGAAGTTTATGAAAAAATGAAAGCTCAAAAGTTACGAAGTGCATTCGTGCACGCAAGTTACGAAGTGAATTCGAGCACACAAGTTACGAAGTGAATTCGATCACGAAAGTTATCGAATGAATTCTAATACGTAAGCTATCGGTTGAATTCGAACATGCAAGTCACCGAGCGACTTTGTGCCGCGGTGCAACACTCGGTTCATCAGTCGAGCGCCGCTCGAATTCACCGCTCGACCCCGAAACTTTTGAGGCGTCGATCGAGCGGCACTCACAAGAGCTCGATGTGAGGGTGCCGATAACTGCAGACTTTTAATTGTGAGGGACTAGGCGATGGCAGCTCAGGCGAGAGGCGTCGTGTGACTTGACTGAGAAGAAGGCGGGGGCTGATAACACTTGGGATGACCATGGGTACAAGGGATTGAGGAAAAATTGTGATAAAAATTTATAGTTTAAACCAGAGAATATAGATAAAATAGCCATGGGAGGAGGAATTTCAGGGATAAAAATCAAGAAATGAGAAAAAATGTAGGAAAAAAACGATAACTGAATGCGAGAAGACTGCGGAGATTTCTGAGTACTGACGTAGCTGAAGTTAAAAACATGGAATATGAATCCAAAAAAGTACTCTGAAAATACGGAGGGAGCAGGCGAGTCATAAAATTATTTATTGCGTACCTAATAAACGGTGTACAACACAACTCCTGCGCAGGGTTGATCACATCAGATTATAACTACACGCGTTGACTGGAGGAGGTGCACGGCGAATGGATTTTATGTTTTTTTTTTTCAATTTGTTGATGAACTCGAATGGCTTTTTGTCACTCGCCCCTGAAACAGTGGCGGTGCGGCTGTGCTTCGACATCTTCTGTCTATCTCATAAGATGGACAAGGCTGTGCTTCTAATCTTATTACATTTTTCATTTAGAAGGTTATCCGATATAATACGAATTTCATAAGCCGGAGAAGGAAACAACGCGGCTGGCATCGTTAAGCCGAAGCGTTTGATCCTTTCGCCTACTGAAGGGAAGGTTAGTGAGCAAGTCTTTAGGTAGGAATAACATAGACGCTCATTGCCTAAAATGAAGACCACAGGCTCGAAATATTTTACATTCGAAAACGAGCTATTGATCCTTGGGCGCAGGACGCCTTGACTCTATAGGATCGTGAGAGGAGGAGGAGGAGGAGGTGGAGGATGCGCTGTCACGACAAAGTGACACGCGACTAACTTAGGTGTGTCCAGACCCAGACGCCCAGGTGTGTCCAGACCCAGACGCCCAGGTGTGTCCAGACCCAGACGCCCAGGTGTGTCCAGACCCAGACGCCCAGGTGTGTCCAGACCCAGACGCCCAGGTGTGTCCAGACCCAGACGCCCAGGTGTGTCCAGACCCAGACGCTCGGACTCAGAGCCAGTCCCAGGGAGGGTGCAGCTAAATTTTCTTTATTTTTTCATCTGATATTTTATTCGTGTTCATGCAGTTTGATCAATCGATTTATTTGGATCATGCCCCAATTTATTGAATGTTCATATATACTTTCAACATTTTTCTAGGACATATTTTGCGAATTTCTAACTTTAATTCATAACTGATTCTATGCTCCGAATAGATACAGGATATCGGGGAGACGATTGCGAGACGCGAACAAAATGCACCAGAAGTTCGGTCACTGAAAGACACGCGAGCAATGAAGCAATCAATGAGCCCAGGAAGCCATGCCAGGGACTACAGGAAGCGGCGGGTCAAAGCCCGCCACCGGCCCGCCTGACTTCGATCGCTGGTGGTGGGGTGGTTGCTATCCTGGTTACCTTGCGACGGATGGGAGGTGATTGTGAGGACTGCAGCTACAATTATGATCGTGGTTAGGTGATTGCGGCCTTGGTTGTGATCGTTAACCTAATGGTGATTATCTTTACGTGCATGCGACGGTGGTTAGGTTATTGCGGCGGCGGTTAGGTGATTGCGGCTCAACAATGCTTTAACAAGAAGCCCGTGTTTGGTGATTGTTGAACCATCGCTAGTGATATCTTGTGATGGCAACTGCGTCCAGTGCAGGTGGTGGTGATTGTGAGGCTGCGAATGGTAATGATGGTGGTGGTGATAGGTGCAGTTTTTTGTGGTTATTTGGTAAAAAGGTAAACTTCTGTTAGAACTCTGAGTCGATTCAGGACGAGTAACGTATGGCAATTGGATTTATTTAACAAAATTTTTGAATTTGTTTCTGTGTAAAATGAAGCGTGAAAAAGCTTCGATGGGTCA